TGTTAGTAACTGATTCTAAAATGTATGTGGCTAAAATCTAAAAAACAATAAATCTCTTTATAGTGAGATACAAGACGTCAAGAGACGTCAAGAATTTAACAAGGGCGGTGAATGGATTACGAGGTCCTCTCTATCCCTATCCACTACTCAACTAAACCACAACCAAGAATACGCGCTTGGAATAATTAGCAAGGACCACACTAGGTGGTAACAATCCTATATTTCTTGAGGTTTTTGAACACCTAGTACTAAATATAAACAACGTCGTAGTTACGATGAGATGGGTACTGCTAATGTTCAAAACCGTTCAAATAATAATCAACCGATGATTTATGAGAGAAGATTTAGATAGATTCAAATAATGGTAAACCAAAATTAAGTTTTCGAAAGAGTATTTAGGTAGATAAATTTAAATAATAGTAAACCAAAATTAAATTGTAAATTTTAAGTTTGAAACTAAATTATTTTCATAAATTCTAATCAACTTATAGCTTCTTTATGTTGAAAGAGTTATAACATTTTTTGTAGTGCAAATATTCTTATTAAATATCGTTAATTTGTTTTTATTACTCCTGTTCCATCAAGTCTTCTCTGAGATTACTATTTTCTTTTTCTCTGGGAATAAAATCTAAATGATCGGTGTCAAGTATGAAGGTAGGAAACTAATGAATTATTATATATGAAAAAACGAGCACATCACTAATAATCACAACATATATCTATTATGCCCCTTCATTCACTATTTGAGCTAAGAGGAGCTGGGTTCATTGTATTGGGTGTGAAGTATGCAATTACCGCAGTCAGTGGGTGAACACGACAGTGCTTTAACACTATTGTCTTCTTGGTTTGTTCGTTGAAGTAGTTCCATACTTGAAATTCTACGTGGCCACCAAATTCTTGAAGTATTACGCAGGCATCTATATGTTAGTGAAGCTTTCTTTGTATTTCACTGTTGACCAACCAAAAGTATCGGTAGCTGTTACTGGTATTCTACAGCGTAGAATATAAATACATAAATCACAAAGCCAATAATATGTTTTTAATTGAAAAAGTTAGATGTCATATTTTGGATTTTGTGACTTATAAATGTTCCGTTACTCACACAAATAATCTAAAACAAATTATTATTTAAAATATGTCTAATAGAATCAAAAATTAAAAAACAATGTATTCAAAAAATTTTACTAAACTTACTAATAGCTATTAAAAGTTCGACTTCATGGTATCTGTTATATACCTCAAAGTTTATAAAATTGAACATAGTGATTTCACTTACTTATTAAGCCAATTAGCACCACAAGAGCCAAAGCACATATGGGTGACAGTAAGGTGGCATTATAGCAGACCGTAGAACGCAACAGACCTTGCCTAAGCATGTTAGTCTGCTTTCGACGGTATTAGATTCCTCCCTCTTCTTCCCAGTAGTTATAATTTTTACTCCCACTTTGGCTTCTTAGGAGAAAATTGTGTCAATTGAACTTAACAAATTCTGGCGAATGCTTGACAGCAAATAAATGCATGCTCATGCTTCCATGCCTGCGACGAGGTGTGATACTGCGAACTACTTCAAACTGCATTAGTAAAGTGATTAGTTGCCTACATAAGCATTAATTATATTTTTACTCAATCTCCTTTCAAATTTTGCACTTAGAAGCATACTTCTAATGAAAATTTATTTCACTTACAGCATGTGATGAATTAATTTTTTATGAAAGTGAGCTATAACATTATAAATAGTATACTTAGTTTAAGACAAGCTAAGTTTGAAGAATAATAGTTGCTTGAAGTTGAAAATATTAAAGGTTTTTAATTGTTAGGCGATAGAAAAAAAAGATAAACTCGCACAATCACTCAAAATATTTTATTCATTTACAATTCTATATGTTTTCTTAGAGGATTTAATCATATTTGAACTCTCGTATTGGTAAAGATCTCATAAAGCAAGTATGAGAAAAAATCGTAATAATGTTGAGGCTAGTTGCGTGTTTTACTCTCTATTAACAGCGAGGTTTCTTCATAACCCGTCTTTGCGCCTTGACTGGATTATTGTTTATCACTTCAACAGACTAAGCAATAAAAAATCGAAAATTATAAATCAAGAATAATGATACATGAATCAAGAATCGAGAATCAAAAAGTCAGAAATAAGAATCACGAATCAAGAATCAAAAATCTATAATCAGAAATTACGAATTATAAATTATGAATTATACAAAATAAATTAAAGAATTAAAGAATTGAATAGTACTTGATCCTATAAAGACTAACTCCTGTAAGCTTACTAGCACTGGGATTTTATATTCAGTTAGTCGCAGAATTTAAAATTTGAACTGCTGGTCGGCTTTCCCACACCGTACGAATAGTATACTTGGCAAACTTTCTAGTATTTAGGCTGTCTCCTTGGAGGAAAGAATATCAAGTTCAATGTTGCTGGAGAAATTGGGAAGTGTAGATAACAAATAGTAAGACGCGTAAAAATAAATGTATGCATTTAAAAATATTGTTTAAGTTTCCTACAATATCTTATAGTATATATCTTATAGTGAAATATTTCTTTTGCTAACGGATATCAACTTTACATTGACTCCGTATCTTAAATTTCGAGTTATTTCGAGTTTATTGTATTACTTACAGAAATAATTTTCAAGTAGTGCTAATCGGACATTAATTAAAGTCGACTTTAGGCAATATTCTTCTTATTCTTCTGATCACAGATGAATTTAAACGCTATTTTACTTTTCTACTAAAAAATTTTCATAGTAAATATTCTAATAATTTGAATGACTTAATTTCTTAATACTAGTTCACATATACAATCTGTTAAGGATCGAGTTCAGTAATTTCTTTTGAACTCCTATATTTAGGAGAGATTTAAATTAAAATTCTATATAAATAAGAAATCGCATGTCTATAAGAATATTTTAATATTTTTTTAGTTACCTTGAAGTGATGCTATTTTTATTATTCAAAGTACTTTCGATGTTTAACATAAATATCTAAAAACAAATTTTAATCTTCGTAGAACACCATTGTAGAACGTTTAATCCTTAAGAATTTTTGAACAAAAACGAAAGGATTTGTTTTAGTATTTTTTATATAAATTTCAGCTTTAAAGAGCAACTCACTGAAACCCCCACAGTAACAGTAATTACCGCGAATTGGTTCTCGCATAGCATTTATCCATTTCAGAGTGTATATCCAATTGGTTGGGTTGGATGACGGGTGGTACGGCTTAGTACATAAAAATAATAATTCTATTTTGCATTTGCGTTTCATAATATCTTGAATTTTATTTTAGTTTTTAATTTTATGTATTTTGTTGCCTTTTGCATAAAAGTACATTCTATTTAGTAAAATATTTTGTTATTATTAAAAAATTAAATAAACTGCACTTTGCAGCGATTTAGTTCTCAAAGTTTTTCTGTGACCATGTCCTTGGAGCTACAAATGATGTTGATAATAAACGCATTGGCTGGTGAGAGTACTGGGTGTGTTAATAGTGTTGGTAAGGCTCATAGGGAAGGCTTGTTAAATCAGTAGAGTAAATTACTATTTGCCTTAAGTGAGTTGCTGCTGCGAAACCACCCACATTTTTATTTTTTTTTGTTTGTTTTTTTTTTTTTAATAAAACAATTTAAAAATAAATTAATAGAATTTACTGAGAAAAAAAATGTTGGATGAGGTCCTTTGTGATAGTACAGAAAATGTAATGCTTTACAGTCAAATGGAAATTGGTTTATAGAGCATATAGATTAAAAAAAAGTTTTAATAATTTGAGTAATTTTTATTTGATTCGTTTAAATGAAAGAACGAAAATTCTTTCATAACTGGAATCTATATTTAATTCCCAAACTTAAGAGTTAAAGCAGTTTTTTTTTTATCCAATGTTTATCAAAAGTTAATGAATTTTCATTTAATATCTTTACTCACCCGTACGATAAGAGATACAATAACATTCTTACACTTATTAGAAAAGTAATGAAGAGTAAGTTTTAGTGAACCTTCTGGCCTAGTTTGAAAAAAAATAAAACGAAAAGCCTTTTAGGCTTCAGCAAACATGCAGTTAGTGTACTTACTGGAGTATTAATGGGCGACTGAGCTATTGCGCCTATGCACCAACGGTGACGAGTTCCAACAAGTGGATTATGCAGGAGTTGTCAAGATGAAGAGGAGCTAGAATCTATCAACTACTTTCTGTGTCTCTGCCCAGGACTGCAGAAAAGGCGACCTTAATATCTTGTGGATCGCTTTTTCACTGGTTTGAAAGAGATAACGAAAGCAAATTTATCAGATCTCCTCAATCAAAACATTCTAATACAAACAAATTAAACGATCGTTTTTGTTGTTTTTGAACTACTGACTTGAAACTTATAGAAACTGAATTATTCCAGTCGTCCAGAATTGTTTGGTTTATGTGTACTTCTACATAATATGATATACCCTATAATTGGTAGATGCTAAATGGTGTATATATATATAGTTCTCTTGTTCTTGTTGTAGCCCGAAATATCAAACAAACACAAACCTTCTTGTATGACCCCTTTGAGGGATGTTGAACGATACCTTGGCATCTTCGACGAGTGGCTCCGTGACGTAGACGCGGCTGTTTTTAGAACCAAATAGTTCTCTTCGCAATTGTTGCATATGTGCGACAAAAATATGAAATTTAAAAAAGCTACATGAGGAATAAATACACTTTCTACTACACTTTATTTTTTATAAATAAGGCAATATTACTTGCAAATATATGGTTATTTTAATTACAAGCTGTCTGTAGGACTGGAATCTCCTCTTAGTTTGTAAAAAAGGACAAGAAAAACTCAAAAAAACCGAAACAGCTGTTTACCTCCTTAAATGTTGCTGATGGCATTATCCATATAATCAATAAAAATATAAAATGTATATTAAGTTTTAGCACTTATTCTGATCTACTATGACGTATAGATAAACTTAATTAATTATATAGGTATACAATGAAAACAAAAACCAAATTTCACTTTTTTATGACTTGGCTATTTAATGGGAATTTTTTGCAATTGGTGAAATAGAAAATATATTTTTGTGTTTTTCAAATTGTCAAAATATTTGTTAAGATATTATAAGATACAAACTATTTCCAGTGTGGTCTACTGTTTCTGCTCCGAATGTAGAGAAGATGATGATGTAGCTATAGTCTTAACAAGTTAGGTGTGACGTTCTTAAGAATGATAAGACGAAATATCGTTCAATTTCTGATCGTGGACAACATCTTCGATATTAGATGGAATAGAGTTGACAGGGTTCGCATCTGTGCGTATCGATTTCAAATACTCTCTGAACATAATTTGATTTGTAGTAGGTTTTACCAATGCAAGTGTTGTAGATTCCTTCTGTTGTATTTGACTATGATTTGCAACTTCTTGCGTGAAGTTTGAAAAAAGATGCTCAGACCCTTTGATAACACCAAATAACAAAATTAAGTTTTCAGAGAACTTCAAATTTTCGCTAAAGCCTTGTTCGTTATTAGTTTTAAGAGACTGCTTCGTAGTTTTATCGCAGCAAAAACAAGGCGTCTTTATCTCATAAGCTCCAGCCGAAGAAATTGTGTACTTGGCGAGCTCCAAGCAACTTGTCAAAATTATTTGATTCAGAAGCTGTCTTTCAAATACGTTTAAGGTGGAAATGGATGCATATTCCTCATTTATTTTTAATCTACCCGTCCTTAGTTTTTCATATATGTTACGTTTAATGTCGTGATAAGTAGGTTTTTTTACTACCAAACGTAACTCAGGCTCATTCAAAATAGTATTTTGCACTTCTTCTACAACTTCACCTTTAATTTGGCTGTTGGTCACTTCTGAATTTTTAACATCAAGTTTTTGAGAACTCAAACATCTTTTGAATCGACTTACTGCACGCATTATAATACCTAGGGATTTCAGATACTTTTTGTTAGCCTTACCGCTCCTTGCCTTAACATTTAAATCCTTGTCTAGTGGAAAGTTACCGTTAGGGTTATTTTCGCGTCTTCCAGGAGCTGACATATTAACACCTTAAGTAACTATGAAGAAAGTAGAAATGTGGTTAAAAAGAAAAGGAACAGTTCAATTGCGTGTGAAATAAACCCAAAATGATATTGCCTTTCCGTGTTTCAATACTTTGCAAAATATATATAGGCACATATATAGTGCAACTCAGAAATTTATTTAATAGGTTATTTGCAAAATGAAAGTACCGAACAAGTCGGAAAAGAAATATACTTTCCTATTAAAAAAATTTTAATACTGTTAAAAAATATTCCTATATTAATCCTGTAAAATATATGTTAGAAGGCAAACAAACTCAAAACTTTCTATTATTTATAGAAAGTTTCTACAATGCACTTAGCATTTAAATATTTAAATCTTATTTATATATATAAATATATAAATATTTATTTAACATAACCACTATTAGACAATAAAATGATGTATTATAAAACCTTCCAAGCTTTAGAAAGCAATACGAAGTTAATCCTCACTACTAAAGTTTTACGTATTATTTGAGCTCTTCGAAACTTAGAGCATTTTCATATTCAAATATACTGAATCAAATGTTAAAGATTAGAAAAAAGAATAGAATTTGCTTTAGTATTCGAATTTATTGTTCGAATTCAGATGTTCTCGAATTGTTGTGTGGACCATCCTAATACGTACTACTTATGTTAATCAAGTTCACATACAGTTATAATTTACATTGTTCTGATATGTTTAGTAACTGATGAGAATATATTGATAATTCTCTTCTCTGCGAACTAAGATTTCTTTAGTTAACTAGAAAATTTTGCAATAATCTGAAAATAATGTGAGTTCGAGTTAATCTAAGAAAATGCTAATTTCTTTTTTCAGTTATTGGGAATATATTATTATGCGGTACTTCATTTGCTACTGGATTTTAAGTCAGATTCTACAAGGAAGAAATCATCCAAGTTTACTTGCAATAGGATTATGTATTACAAACAAAAAGACAAAGTGTGAACAAATATGTGTATAACTACTACTAAACATTATTAATTTTTTAATAATGTTTTTTTAGCTCACTTTAACTAGGAGTTTTAATCGGCCAAGTTTATTTTTTTTTACTTACCTGTAAAATATTCCAACGAATCCCAACTGATATGAGTTTCAGCTACCCTAAGAATATGTTTTTCTGGCTTCTCAGTTTGATAGAATTGAATAGTACTTGATCCTATAAAGACTAACTCATGTAAGCTTACTAGCACTTGGATTTTATATTCAGTCAGTCGCAGAATTTAAAATTTGAACTGCTGGTCGGCTTTCCCACACCATACGAATAGTATAGTTGGCAAACTTTCTAGTATTTAGACTGTCTCCTTGGAGGAAAGAATATCAAATTCAATGTTGCTGGAGAAATTGGGAAGTGTAGATAACAAATAGTAAGACGCGTAAAAATAAATATATGCATTTAAAAATATTGTTTCCTACAATATCTTATAGTATATTATGAAATATCTCTTTTGCTAACGGATATCAACTTTACATTGACTCCGTATCTTAAATTTCGAGCTATTTCGAGTTTATTTTATTACTTACCGAAATAATTTTCAAATAGTGCTAATCGGATATTAATTAAAGTCGACTTTAGGCAATATTCTTCTTACTCTTCTGATCACAGATGGATTTAAACGCTATTTCTTAAAAGAATACCCATTTCTAGTACATCTATTAAAATCACTCACTATGGTTCATTTCTTATCTTCCTTTTTTAGTCAGTGGTGTATAATAGTTTGTTTGGAAGTGCAAATTTTTTTAATAATTATAAATATTATCTATATATATGTTTAGAAGAAAAAAAATCTATGCGAAAATGGTACGAAAATGTTAAAATAAATATATTTTGTCCCGAATGATACTTAGTGGAAAAATTGCAGTTACAATACTTTTTCAAGTAGTATCTACCGCATTCTTATAACCATAAGATATAAAAGAGCTATTAATATTGCAAAATTTGTTACCAACCTTGTTCCTGATATGTCAATGATATTTCAACGTCTTTGATGAAGCGGTTTTGCAGATAATTTTGGATGGACAATTTTGAAGAGCGCAGATTGTGTAGCTCTACAATTAAATTTTTAATTCAAATTTCTATGTATGTAGTATGGATTTAATTAAATACAAAAATTTTTTGATAGACTATATAGAAAATTTTTGACATGTATTCATCGACTACTTTGCTTTTTTTAAAAAACGTAAGACATATTGTTTTTTTTTTTTTAAAAAGAAAGATGTAATTTTTTAATTGCTTTTTATTAATCCAAAAAAAAAACAATTTTTGGATATAATGAAGTTTTTGAAACTTTTGTTGAATTTTTGATATGATTAAGAATCAGTGACGACTGCTATAAGGTGCGGAGGTGTGCGGAGCACAAACAAACATAATTTAAAAATTTTAAATAAAATATATAAATTCATTAAATATTTTTACATTGAGACTTTAATTTATAACATTTACATATAATACATACCTATAATTGTATCAGAAATACAGAATTATATAGTGGAAATTGTATGAGAGTATTTATTCTGTTCTTTTCGAATAGAACAGAATAATCAATTACATGCATACGAATCTAACATGTTGATTTGCCAAAGCACTTAGTTGTGCAGTAAAATTTGCGGCACAAATTTCAATTCATTTCAATTACATTTTGTCTCTCCCCTTTTTTTTGTAGCCAGAATGAATTTCTTTCTTTAGGTGTGCGGAAAAATTGGCCACACATTCATATTGTTAGTCTGCACTTTGAGCCCGTTTTCGATTGTACGGTTAAAAAAGGTTGAGAAATATTACTTCTTTTTTAATCATAGTCTTTAGAAACACAACCTATGAAACGCTAAGGAAGTCACTCCAAATTTGATAGTGAACTATATAACGCTGTTTGAAGATAATTTTACACATAATGAGATAATAATATAATATATGTACATTATAATGTCTATATATGATGAGAAATTATAAAACGATTAACAGTTATAGGTGTAAAGCATTTTTTAAACCATTTTTTGTTTTAATGCATTTTCAAGTGAAAAAGTAAAAATATTTTAAGCGTTCTAATATTATTTCACTGTTCTATATTTACACTTCTTTTTATTATCCTTAAGAAGGGTAATACTCTTGTGACAAATCCCTATATTTGCATCGTACCAATGCTTTTCACCGCAAAACCCGCAAACGCACGAAAAACATATCGAGTTTTCCCTCTGCCTTGCTGCTTTACATTTAAAATCACAGAATTGTTAGGCATTTTTTGTTTTCGGTATTCTTATCGTTTTTCATCTCTTTTCCTGGTTTCTGCGCTCTTTAGCTTTAGCACATATTTGTTAAACGTGTGTAAGTGCGAATGGCGAAGTATGTGTGTTACTGTGTTACTAGCATACACACATATAAACAATACCAAACAACAATTTTTTTTTGATTGCGTGGTGTGTGTGTGTTTGTGTGTGTAGTCAAATCGGTTTTACTTTTGGTACGTGCTTTCTTTTGCAATTTTTTCAAAACTTTCTGTTTTGTTCAGTTTGTTTTTTTTTTATTTGTTTTGTTTTTGTTATTTTTGTTGGTTTTAGCTCGACATCGATAATTCTTCATTTCACTTCTGTGTATTTAAGCTGTGCGTTGAGCTTATTTCGTATGTTGGTGTGTATGAGTATGAGTAAGTAAGCGTGTGTAAAGTTGAAAAGATGCTGGCTTTTTGTTTTGCTTCATTTTTTTTTATTTTTTTTATTTTGTGTATCTCATTTGCTGATATTCGGTTTTTCATTGCACACTATCAGCATATATAATACATTTTTTGTTCATTCAAAAGAAAGCAAGCAAAGAAAAATCCAAAAAAATTTAAACTAATAAAAAAGTAGGAAAATAAAAACCAAGAAAAGCTGACTATAATGGAGCACAAAACTGTTTACTTCTAAATGGAAATTCATACATAAATTCTATTGATTTGATTGCTTGAGGTGAAATTTTCTTCGTTACCTTCATTTCTTCAATTCTTAATTTCTTCACTTTTAGTTTGGCAATTGGTGAAACTTCAAAGAGCGAAAGGATTTATGCCTCAGAACTAATAACAAAGGTAGATGAGAGAACTTTGCTGAACCAAAAGGATTTGAGTTAAATAACGTGAAGTCAGTAAGGCCTTTTCCATAAATCCCATTAATACCTCTGCAATTTTTTTTTGTTTTGTTGCAAAATGGCATATTATTCTTTATTTTTAATACTATTCGAAGTTCAAGAGTTAACTAAAAACGTTTAGGATTTTAAGCAATACTAATTATAAAACCGATTAATATCAAAATTTCTTCTGTATTATTCTACAGAAATACTTCTGTATTATTGTACATTTTGATTATTATTATTATGTTGAGGCTAGTTGAGTCAGTACACTCGAACACTTTTACTCTCTATTAACTGCGAGGTTTCTTCATAACCCCTCTCTGCGCCTTGAGTGGATTATTGTTTATCACTTCATCAGACTAAGCAATAATTGACCTCAGATCTGCATTCCTCCCCGAGATGCCTGTATTCATTCTGAGATTTGATAACGCGGTGTTGGTTAGCCTGTAAGTTTTCGTTAATAATTTCAGGACTCTATCCTTATGTATTTTTTGATCGGATCAATTTTGAGGTCCCTGAGTATGTCATTCGTCCAAATGTAGCATGGTACCTTGAAAAGTCTTCTCAGAGCCTGGCTTTATCCAATTTCTAGCTGGCGAATGGTAGTGTTAGAGGTTTTGCTAAACGCTACACATCCATGTAGAAGTGACGGTTGGCATCTTTAGTCTTTAACGAAACCTTTCCCTCGATTATTATTCAAAGCAATGAAAAATTTCCCCATTAAAAATAATTCCGAAGCCAGGAAAGGACTTTTCTTTGTCAACATTATGTAGATCTATAAGTTTTCTGTTTCTCTATAGAAAACTTTTAGGCATATGTTTTGTTAAAAATTATGAAGATATAGCTAATCATTAATTTGGCTGTAGAATAGGACATTGGACTATTGAATAAGTTCACAGAATTATCAAAGAAATATTTTCTGTGTTTCATGACAAAATGTACTGCTCCGCTGTATACTTAAATGTGGCTCAATGTTTTGAGAAAGTGTGGTATGATCCCCTGATGTAAAATTTAAGTCAATTCTTTCCTGACAAAATGCATAAGCTAATTTTTTCATATATAGTCATTAAAAAATAACAATTTGAATACAATTCAATTTCTTTACTACATATTAATAAAAATTGATATAAAGGCTGCCGTTCCTCAAGAAAGCGTACTCGGGCCGTTTCTTTACTAAATTTATACAACTGATATTCCTTTATACTCAAATCAGGGATGACCCTACAGTTCTCAATGCACACAATGACTACAAAAGTGCATCCCGGAACCTCTTACCTCATTTAAGTCTTTTGGAAAAATGTCTTGCGAAATGGCGCATTAAAGTTAATAAAATGAGAAGAAACTTTAAAAAAAGTCACTTTAACGCTGCGCAAGGACACAAGTCCTTGAATGATATTGAAGAGTATAATTATACTCAATCAACTGATGTGAAATATCTTGACATTCATCTTATACAACAGAAGACTGACAATAACTAAGAAAATCGAGAGTGAAGAAGAAGAATTAAAATTCCAGAAATTGCATTGGCTTATTAACAGGAATTATTAACAGGAAAATAATAGTTTGGTCACACTGTCTTACTGCTCCACAACCTTACTGCATTTCAACATCCCAATTAAACAGCAATCTGAGATATCAGTATTATTTTATTATATATGAATCTGCTATTATAAATTTACTTTTTTAAATGTTGAAAGAGAAGACTGTCAGGATTGTTCACCGAAGAACATTCTGAAAGTTGAAATGGAAAGTTGAATTCCATAAGTCGAAGTGCTCTAGTACAAGAGCAGCCGAAAATTGTTACTTTTTCTATATGTTTAGATGGTAGTGCAATAGCTATAACTTTAGGCAATAAACACATGTGACAATTTTCAGTGTCTTATGTCTAATGTGTCTTATGTTGTCCATGATTTTTTTTAGAAGTAGTTTTTATGAATCTTCAAGTCTGATTCTGTTTAGTTAACCTCTTGTATCTATTGTAATCAAATATGGTATCATAAGAATGAGGAGATTATTTGATAACAGAGAATGTGCGAGAGTAATGTAGTTGATTTTATAGTTAATTTTAATAAAAATAGTTAAAAGTTTCGTTATATATGGATGTGTTTCCCATTTTTATATATGTTACGGTTTATATAATATATTAAAAATAATATCCACTACTATATTGCAATATAAGAAGAATGCACTGAAATATAAGAAAACGAATATAAATCCATTTGGTAATTTTTCGTCTCTTCATAAACCATTTGTCCAATTATCCAATATGTATATTATAGCGTCATCAGTTTTGCAGTTTCCGACACTGGCCTACCTTTTACACTGTGCCGTACTGTAAAGCAAATGTTTACAGATTTTTATAGAGCTTATCTAGTTTTTAGTAAAATCAGGATATTTAAAGTGCAAAATATGTTAACACAAAAAAGAACTGCATCAGGAACAAACTTATGCTTAAAATTTATGTCGATTCATTGTAATTTTATTTGTAGGATTTTTTGACTAAAAATGTTTGTATAAAGATTTTATGATATATGGAAACTATAAAGTAAAATTAATAGCTGGTCAAGGCTAAATATCGGTTGACACCACAACGCCACCAGTTTTCGTGGCAGTAGCAGTAGTAACTGTGGGCATATACCGAGGATAGTTAATATTTGTAAATATAGTGCGGTTTGGTAAATGACATCTTGTTTCCTTTTACCATAAGTTGTGTATACGCTACGCTTCCTAGCTGTGCATCATTTAAATATAAGTCTTTGTATGGACAAAGAATACACAAGTTTAAGTAGTTACTCTTACATGTTAATATACCACACAGTATTTAATAAAATGTTGATTTTTGCTAACTAGACTAGTTATCTAGTATTATCTTAAGAATATAATACGGGAGAGGCAAGTGAATGCTTTGATTTTATCATGTTATTACTGATGTAAGTAACTCAAATTTTACATTTCCTTCTATAAACAGCTGGGAAATGTAAGG